TTTGGTGGAAGAAAATTTTGGTGTGTAGGCCATCACCCCTGTCCATTGGAGGCAAGTACAGCCCCTCTTTCTCTTCCCTTCCCCCCAACTCATGTCACTTGCCCACTGTGGTCAGTGGGTGGGTGACCAGCATGGCCTCCAGCTGCTGACTGAGGGATTTTGCTCTCTTTGCTTCTGATTGCTATTGCTTTTTTTTTTAAAAAAAAGATTTATTGAGTTATGCATACAAGAACTGGGGTGTAGGCCAGAGGTGTGGGGGCTCTCACCCCCCACCAGAGACAGAGTGGGGAGCAGAACAGGCTGATGTACTGAAATACACTGCTGAGGGGAGCATCAGGTAAGGCAGGAGAGGTCTGCTGTGCCACATGGGTCAGCTCCCTGGCCCGGGGAACGGACTCACGCTGCAGTGACTGGCAATAGCTTCACAATGCTGAGACTTAACCCCCTGAGCCACCAGGGAGGCCCGTTATTGCCTTTGGATCAAGTGTTATGTTCCATTGAAGCAAGGCTCACACAGTGCCAGGTGGATCTTCTTGCTGCTGGATCCTTCCGCCTCTACACCTGACTCTCAGGCTCAGCAGGGTAAGGAAGAGAGCAAGGAAATGACTTCTTTCCTCTTTAGAGCCTGGGAATCAAGGGATTTCCTCCTTATTTTTCTCACGTTAGTGTGTCTGCGGGATGTAACTAACACCCTGTGAAGACAGATACTTGCAGCTCTCATATCTTGGGGAATGGTGTGCCCCCTCCCCCAAAATATTGTAGCCTCTCACTTCCCAACTCTTCAGGTAGCTCCATCTTACATGGCCCTAAGACCTCTAAATGTCCAGAGTTGCCTATTTTTTAATGTTCAAATGGAATGTTTGTTATCATCTTATGCGTCGTTGTCTCTTAAGTTTTCCCAAAAATTCTGGAGGCAATTATTTTCTAGTCATTTTGAGCCACGATCTGCTTCCCTTTTTAGCCTGGACACTTAGCAAGGGCTGCTGGACTCCCTCATTGTCCACCCCATCCCTGGCACATGGGACTGCTCCTCCGCCTTCATTTCTTGTTCCCACCTCCTTGTATGTTACAAATACATCTCTTGTCTTCCAAATTCAGGCTGGAGAGAAATTTGTCTTTCTGGCTTTTCCTGTGATTGTGTTTAATGTTCCCCATTTCATCATGTGGCAACAACTTCATCCTAGGCAATTTTGGGTTAAATTCACAATTTCTTCCCTTCTCTCTCCACTTCTAGGTATTGGGTGGGGACGGGGTAGGCTTACATGGAGTCAGGCATTACATGGTGGTGGGGTCTAGGCTATGTGGTCTCCTCTGTCCATGCTGGACTTCGCTTAGGAGTTCATCTTGTCTGGTCCATGTCCTTCTTACCTTTTCACATGGTATTTGTTGAGATTACCTTTGCTCTGTGCAGTCTCTGCAGATCTTGCACTGACCACAATGCCACCTCAGAGCTGCTCTTTGTTCAGTGTCACATTAGTGCTACTCTTGATGGTTGGGAAGACATTCTGCTGGGTCCTGCAGCATCATGGGAGGTCTCTGAATTCAGGCAACTGCTTGAGGTCCCCCATCTTTGATTGCCATCCAGACATCTGCACCCATGCCTTGGGAGGGAGGTTCAGAGGATGTTCAAAAGCTCCCCCGCCTGGAAAGCAAGTCCCTTTTGCAAGGCTCTCAGATGCCCAACCTCTCTGAAGAGCTTCCCCCAGGGCTCATCTGGGGACAGAGCTGAACTCAAAAGGCACTTAAGAGATGTCTCATCTCATATCTCTCTGAGTGTCCCTTCACTGGGGTGGGGCAGAAAGAATTGGATTTGACTAATTACATGTTATTTTAAATGTATAGTGTATGCTTGGAATTGTGAGATTTTAAAAGTCAAAGGCCAAGAATCTGACCCCTTTGTTCTGCATTTACCTCCTTCTCCTAGTGGAATGTTGTGACTGGGAAGATATGGAGTGAGGGAACAGGGAAGGGCCAAGGGCCAGAGAGTAGGAGGTGCTGGGAACAGAAGCCACTTTTGGGGGAAAGGGTTCAATAATATCCCGCAGTTTGAGGACATCTTTTTCTGAAGTTTTGCAGGGAATGAACAACGGAGAGTGTTGACAACACAATGCCCGGCAAGGTACCACTTAAAAGTTCCCCCCAACCCTTCCAGGACTCCAGACCTCCAGAAGCTTCTCTTGCTCTAGCTTTGCTCTTTCATGACTGCTTCACTCATTCTTCCTTTTCTCTTCCCTGCTCCCCAAACTGCTTCAGTTTTGGTTTATTTACACGTACTTCACATTCAGTTCTTGTATTTAGCTTCCTTTTTGTATCATCCAGACCAAGATCTGGAGCAGGGAATGGGGTCCTTTTATATCCAGATTCCCACCATGATTTTTCCTATCCTCCACCCCATCCTATACAATTGCTGTGAATAGCACCTCCCTCTCTTCATTGGAGAGTGACTACAGTCCTAGTTTGCTTTAATAAAAATTGTCCTTCTGCTTTCACCTGAGTGTAAAGCTATTCCTGCTCCTTTTTGAATTATATCTACTTAAAAAAAAAGGATATATCATTTTTGCTCAAGGATTTGCTAATAGTTTCACCAGGTATCACCACCCAAGAATATTAAGCCAACAAAATTTGCATGCAGAGCATCAAGTTTCCTGCTTCTAAAAATTCATACTTCCTCCCTCCGTGACACAAACTGAATGAAAACTTTTATTAAAGGGAGAAAGGCTAGAAATGCAGACGATGTTCTATTCATTTAAGTGGGCTTACTTTATCTTGAATGTTAAGCCTGCTTTTGAGGGAAACCAGAATATGTCACTCTAAAATATGTTTTGAAATTGGACATCAAAATTATTTTGAGCCAAAGGTACTTAAAAAAAAAAAACAAAACAACAAAGCAGATGCAAGGAGAACATGCTGACCCTCTTCTTTTCTTTCCCCTTAAAGCAGGAGATAACCCCCCCCCCCTTTATGGAAAATACCAGAAGGAAAGTAACATTCTTATCCTTAAATGGGAAGTTGAGACTGAGAATTCTGTACAAACAGACCTGTTGTTTCAATAATTCTTATCTTCCTTTAGCCTCCCCTTATGTTTTAGCTACTGTCCCACAATCATTTCTAGTTGACCCTAGAATGAAAGCATTTAGGTTTTGCTGCTTTTGGGGGCCTCCTTTCCTTACATGGGCCCCTGTGTTACATAAAACCTACATCAAATAAGTCTGTGTGTACTTTTCTATTTATATCTTGTGTCTTTAGTCTTGGAGAAGAGGGAAAGAAGATGGTGAGTTAAGAGATTCCACCCAATGTTCAAACCCTGCGGGTCCTCAGCCAGCACCCAGATTTAGATAGAAAACCCTAGCCATAGCTCCCAGGGGTCCGGGAAACATGGTGAGCCTCCAGTTATCCCAGTGTGTGAGCTCAATTCAGCAAGACACCTCTTCAACGCCCAGGGCACTGTTAGTCCCAAGGAAGCAAAGTTCAGCTAACCACAGGGTTAAGTGGGGGAACTTCCTAAGTGCTAGTAGGTATGCAAATTCCAAGCTACCAACTGGAACAGTGGCAATTGAGTGTGGTTCATCTTTTTACAATTGCATTTTAATATTTTTATTTTTTACTTTTTTCAATTTCCTTGCTAAAGTGTATCTTATATACTGTGAAGCACACAAGTATCAAGTGAAATTTTACCTTTGTCTACCCCTGTGTATCCACCAAGACAGAGAGTTTTCAGCAGAATCCTTCACACTTGCTCCCAAGTATTATCTCCCCAAGGGTAGCCAGACTTCAGTCTCCATAGAGTATCACCTTTTTTGCAAACATTGTATGAAAGGAATTATACTGCAATCATTTCATTATTCAAAAGTGCCTCTTGCAGAAAAGAGGAGCGGGCCTTTGCATCCTAACAGTATACAGGAGTGTCAGGCAGTGCAGGGTTTGAATAGTGACTCACTCTGTCTAAAGTTCTGCAACTTATAATATTTATCCTTGTTGACTTTGGTTTCCTCATCTATAAAAGGGGAGCATAATTATTCCTACTTTGGAAAGTGCTTGTTGGAAAATGAGTACTATATAAAATGCCTCATGCAGTGCCCAGCACATGTAGATGCTTGATAAATGTGTACTGGAAGGAGGGATTGGGGTAAAAATAAGGGGGTTGCAATTGTATGGGGAATATAAAAAAAAAATGTGTACTGGGTGATAGTATTTTATTCTTGGATATAGTAGGCATTTGTTAAACTTATATTCAAATAACCTATTCTCTATATTCCTGCTTGCAGTATAGATTTCTCTTACTTTCTGTGAACTCTCTCCTGGACTTCAGCTGAGGAATAAGGGTGTTGTGGCCAAGGACTTCTGCAAAGCTCTTGCACTTTTCGCACTAAACGCTGCAACTTTAGCTTCTTTACTTTGTACCTCACCGGCCAGATTTAACTACTGTTGGGAAGGTGGAAGGATCGCTTATGAAAAAATGGGTCAGAAGTGCTGATATTTTTCATTATGGGCAGTTCACTTTACTTTTTTAAAAAAGATTTATTTATTGATGCATACAAGAACTGGGGTACAGGCCAGTGGTGTGGGGGGTGAGAGGATTCACCAGAGACAGAGTGGGGAACAGAACAAGCAGACTGACTGAAATACACTGCTGAGGGGAGCAGCAGCGGGCGAGGCAGGAGAGGTCTGCTGCGCCATGTGGGTTTCTCCCTGGCCGGGGCTCGAACTCGTGCTTCAGTGGCTGTGATAGCTTCATAGTTTGCGTCCCAACCCCTGGTGCCACCAGGGAGTCTCGGGCAGTTCACTTTAAATCAAGAAACATTTATTGAGCAAGTGCAAAGTTCTAAGCTTGTCATTCACATTCCTTTGTTCGCCCATTTACGCACACCCAAACCAGCCCTGCCGGCCTCCGCTCCGGACCAGGGACGGTCCCTTTAAGGCCCTGGAAAGGGTCTCCCCGTGGGTTTCGCAGGGAGGCCCCGCCCCGTCACGTGACCGCAGCTCCAGGGGGCGGGACCGGCGTTTCTAGGCTGCCGTCACTTCCGGTTCTCTGTCAGTCTGGAGCGAGCGAGCCGAGAGCTGTTCGGGACCGAGCGGAGCGTGAGTGCCGACCCCGCCCCCACCGCCCGCCCGGCCGCCCGGCCGATCCCAGCCTCCCGCGGCCGGAGCCGGGGCGGCCCCGCGCCCCTCCGCCGGCGACGGCCGCGAGACATGGCGGCGCTGCCCGCCCCTCCCCGCCGGGGTTCCCCGACTCCCTGCCTCGCCCCCGCCCCCGCCCGGGGCCCCGCGCCGGGCCCTCCGCGCCGGCCAGAAGCCCGTCCGGGGCGGCCCGGGAGGCGGGGCGTGGCCGCGCGAGGACCGGGAGCCGCGGGGAGGGGTCTCGGGGGCCCCCGGGCCGTCCCCGGGCCTTGTGGGGGCGACCCGGGCCCGGGAGGGCGCGTGCGGGGCCCGCCGGTCTCCCCGGCCTCGCGGGGGCCGCCGCCGCCCGCGCCCCGGGGTGGGGGCGCCGGGGGGGCGAGCGCGCCGGCGGGGGCGGCGGGCGGGCCGGGGAGCTCGGGGCGCAGCTGGGGGAGGGGACGCTCCGGGAGAAGAAAATGGCGCTCGGTGCAAGTCCCTCCTCTTCCCACGCGGTCTCCTGCGCTCCCGCCGCCCACGCCCCCCGCCGGCCCGGCCCCCCGCCCCCCGCGGCGGGCCCGGCGGCCTCGGGGCGGCGCGCGACCCCCGGCGCCCGCCCCGCCCCCCCGGCGCGTCCCGGCGCCCCCCCCCCCGCCGCGCCGGGGGCGTGAGCCCTGCGGCCCCCCTATTCACCCGCGGCCCCTCCAGTCGCCCCTGCGCCCCCGCGCCCCGCCCGCCTCCGGGGACGGAGCATTTAAAAATCTCCTTGCGCGTGTGTTGCACGCGCGTGTGTCGCACGCCCGAGCGCGCGTGTCAGGCCTGGACGAGCCGCCCTGGTTCTGGGGGCGCTGGGTGGGGGGGAGCCGGACCGGCCGCGAGGGTTCATTAAGTAAAAATATGTTTTGTCTCAACTTGAGGGAGGCTGCGGGGCCGCCCCGCGCCCCCTTTTCCTCCTTGCATGAGCTTCTGATTTGGATTCAACCCGAAATGGTTCTTAGAAATGATCATAGCCCCCAGGCACCTTTTATTAACAGATGGTGCAGTTATGCTCGTCTCTTCTAAAGGGAAAATATAGGTTATGTTCACCTTAATTGCCGTGGAATGGTTTCCTGGCATCATTAGCTAGCGTAAAAAACAACTAAATTGATTTTGGAGTTTGGGTTGTAAAGTGGAGCAGTAAGAGGATTATAAAATGTGGCTGGGAACGTTGCTTCTCGCCTCTGAATTTCTTCTCTGCGACAAGAAATTGCCAGGTGAAGTCGTGTTCAGATTGGACATGATTTGTGTTTTTTGAATTTAGTTAGGATCGGGCGGCCCACTTTTTACCTTGCTCTGTTGTAGGACGCATTGCCAGTACTAATGCAAGCTTAGGTCTAGATAACTAGATTATTTGATTTTTTTGATGAGAAAGGGATGTTATTTTCCCTTTGTTCAACAGACATTTACTGTGTGGGGGGTATGTATTGGGCCCTTTAGGGCATGCAAAAATTAGTAGGACTCAATTTTTTTGAAGATGGAGAGAGAAAAAGGTGCCAGTTTTGACAATAAGGGTATTACTACCTGGCACTGTAAGTGGCTTTGGAAAAAGAGGGACAGCCTTGGAATTTCCTGAAATTTGGGAATTAGCCTTTTTAAAGTATATCTTTGCAAACCATAGGCACAAGCTGCTGTCTGGATATTTCCACATGCTCTTGAAAGCAAGGCACCAGTTCATGTAGGTGTCGGGGGTTGTCTGGGACTGGGGTGATAGTAGGAATCTGAGGAAGAGTTTTTTGTCCTTCCTGTAAGAGAATTCTTCATATTTTCAGAGTAGAAGATTGGTGTAAAATATGAGAATTTTTATTCCTGGTTTTAACAGTGATACTGTCAGCTGCCTTCTTGCAGTCTATCCTACCCATAAACATCTAATTCCACTAAAATGAAGTACAAAAAGACCCGTTGGCTTTGAGAAAAGAGTGTGGGAGTGTGAGATGTGTATGACATTTAGCTCTTTTTCCTTGCTGGGTTCAGAACATTTCACACTGCATGTTATTTGCAATTTGGAAGAGCATGGATTAAGAGTATAACTTCTAGCATTATGCTCAGTGTCACAACTCCAGTACCACACAAGTGGTAGAATGTACCATGGAACTTCTTGAAGTTTTGATTGGGGGAGAATTAAGATGAAGGTGATAGAGCATTTCTTAATTATTGGCATAATGTGTTTTTTTTTTTGCAGAATGCCTAAGTCAAAGGAACTTGTTTCTTCAAGCTCTTCTGGCAGTGATTCTGACAGTGAAGTTGACAAAAAGGTGACATATGAATGTATATTTCTTTGATACCTAGTTCAGCAATATTGCCTACATCCAGTTCTGAAGGACAGCAGATACAGCAAATCTGAAGACCCTGGATGGGTGTTCCTGAGTGTGAATGGCTCCTGTAATACTTGACAAAAGTACCTGAGGTGCTTATTGTCCATGCACGCTGCTAGGCTCTAAAACAAACTTGAGCAAGTCTTCAGACTTCACAAATCTCCTGTTGAGGATATTTAGAAAACTTGGAACTGCAGAACCACTGCCATAGGCCCTAGGGGAAATAGCATGAGTCCAAAACCACTGTGTGCCATTTATTTAAAAGTCTTTCTGATCAGTAGGTATTATTTGTAGCAGTTGTGTGAGCTGAACTGAACTTGAGTGGAGATACCAGTTTTGACAGCCACCATTGGTGTTTATCCAGCCCACAAGGAGTACTTAAAAATGTAGGCTTGGTATGTTTTAGGTTAGATTAGCACCCAGCATTTAGACTTTTTCCTGCAGTAGATGACAATCATCCTGTGAGTGGTATATGCTATATAAGCAGGCAGTTCACACTGTAGTTAGGGCTTCCTTACACAAAGACCTTTTATCTTCTAGAAGGTTTTGTCATTGTGCCTCTGAATTAGCAGTTAGTGAAAGAGAGCTTACTGGGAGAACCTTGGTGAATACGCACCTTCATAAGGAAATACCTAGCTTACGTGTATATATATTCGAGAAAGACATCTTTCAATGTTTAAATATGTATCTGGCATAGCATTTAAATAAGTTCATTTAACAAATTTTTGAGCTTTTATGTGCCAGGCATACACCATTCACAGGGAGTATTCAGATCCTGACGTAAAGATAATTGCTTTCTCCTTACTGAGCTGCGTTAACTTTTGCTGTTTGTCCCAAATAGTACTAATCCTATAAGTACTTAACATTTTATACAGGTTATATATGTATTTAGCAATACATTTTAGCTTCATATAATTTAGTAAAATATTTACATAATATTTTGATAGCTTATATTTTCTGTTAAGGAATATGACTGCCCTCTACTGTTAGGGTTGGAAACTACTGATTTTCATAGGCCTTTGGCCTATTTTGAGAATAGGCTATATTAAAAGCTTTTGTAGTAATGCTGCTTTTAAAGCATAGTTTTGATTTTAATTGCTAGTCTAACACATGGCTGTCTATATAAGGGATTTGTGTGTGTGTGATGAGGAAATTGAGTTATTTGACTTTTAGTGCACAGTACAAAATAGTTTTCTTAGCTTTGCCTACTAGTAAATTCTCTAAGCCAATTTAAATATAAGTCCCTTTTGGACTAGGCATGGCATAAGTAAATAATCATATCTAGAAACAGAATAATGTGGTTGTAGTCTTCCTAGTTAGTATATCTCTTGTAAAAATTAAGTCGCTGACTAGCATTAGTGGGCCTGTGGTTTCCAAAAGTTCATTCAAAAGCATCATCTCCTCCCCCCTTCCTCATTTTTTAAAAACTCCCAAAGAAATCTTTTTGGGCATCCTGGTCTATAAAGGAACAGTTTCTCTGATTAATAACACTCTAATGCCTGCAGTATTTTTAGGGTTCTTGAGAACCCAAAGTTTGAGAACAATGATTAGATACCAGTGCTGGAAGAGTTTCATAGTTCCATTGCAAGTGAAATTGCCTGTGTGTATGTTTATGGTTTTTCTCTTAATATAGTCTTTTGATAGAGTAATGGAATCTTTTGAACCTGAGATGTGTTTTATTCTTAAGTGCAAATGTTAACCACGTTCTTACTCTTTTTAAGTTAAAGAGGAAAAAGCAGGTTACTCCAGAGAAACCTGTGAAGAAGCAGAAGACTGGTGAGACTTCGAGAGCTCTGTCGTCATCCAAGCAGAGCAGCAGCAGCAGGGATGACAACATGTTTCAGGTTAGGCTGATTATTTCCTTAGATCAGCTAAGGAATTACTACCTGACTTGATTTGAAGAACATTAAAAGGACTATAATGTGGCAATACATAGTAATCTTTTACGTATACTATCATACTCTTGACTAAGTATTCCTTGAAATATAAGAACAGGTTAGTAGAAATGAAAGTAATTTTTATGTGTTAGATAGTTAAAGTCCAGAAGTCTAGTTTTGTCTTATTTAAAGCAAGGTGAAATTTAGAAATAAAGAGGTTGAGAACTCTTGAGGTTAGAAAGCAGCTTGGAGGAGATAGGTTTAGGACTGGGCTGTGATATGTGGATAGGGTATTACAGAGGAAGCAACAATATGACCTGCCAAGTTGTGGCTTGAGAACAGAAGAGGTAAGTGGATTTCCTTAATAGCCTTGTTGTTAATGTTTAGTGGAGAGTAAGATTGAATAATGAGATAAAGTGAGGAAAGTTCATTAGAGGGATTTGATGAATTCAGAGAACTAATACAGCTTTTTATCCTTGGGTTTCTTAATCTTGTTTTAGAGAGACTAATTGACATTGTACAAAGGATTTGTGGAGAGATGGGGAGTGAAAATGGAAGCAGGTGAAATCCCTTTAGGTGTATGTGAGTGATAGGGACTTTACGTGGTTTTCCCCCAAGACGAAATAGTGATGAATATAAATTACTGGTGAAGAATCAATTAGAGAGGTCAGGTAGTCAACAAAGGCTGGTTTTAAATTTGAGAGTCATAGAAATGAAGGTTTCATTGATAAAATTGAGGAACAGACATTAGTTTCAATGGCAAAGGTGGTTTAACTTTTTGGACCTAATTGTAAATGTGATAAAATAAGAGTCATCTTTCTGTGGCACCTGAGGGGTTGGTTGTGACTGGCTTATTTGACTTGGTAAATTCCTAGCCTGTGATAAAATTTTTTTGGTACTATTATTTCATTTATGTGATACTCTGGAGAGGTAAAACCACAAGGGTAGGGCTGATCTGCCTTCGTAAGGCTGACCAGTATTCACCACATGTGTATACCACATTTCGTGTATCCTTTCATCTGGCTGTGAACACTTTGGGTTGCTTCCAGGTCTGGATGTTGTGAGTAATGTTGCTATGAACATGGGTGTGCAAGAAAATGTCTTCTTGAGACCTTGCTTTCACTATTTTGAGATACACACCCAGAAGTGGGGTTCGTGAATCATTCTGTTTTTGATCATTCTATTATGTATGTACTCATATGATAGTTATATTAATTTTTTGAGGGAGCTCCGTGCTCTTTTCCGTATCAGTTACACTAGGTTAATGATCCTAATGAGGTGAAATATGTTTAGTTCCATCTTTTTTATAAAGACTTAACAGTGACTGCTTTTGTACTTTTTATATTGAGAATAGTAGTCATTTTCATGGTTAAAGCTTCTGAGTGTGCAGCAAGTTGTGAATATAAATCTGGACACCTCTTGAAATGGACACATTTTTGATGTTTATTTTGCAGATTGGGAAAATGCGGTACGTTAGTGTTCGGGACTTTAAAGGGAAAGTCCTAATTGATATTAGAGAATATTGGATGGATCCAGAAGGTGAAATGAAACCAGGAAGAAAAGGTGAGCTTTCCTTTCCTCAATTTAGTTTTGATGTGAGACTAAAATAGAAGTGATCTAAGTAACCTGCCTATTTGAAATTGGAATAATGTTTCTACTGCATAGAGCAAGGGAGAGCCTTCTTCAGTTGATTATCTTCCGTAGTTTTTGTTGATGTGAGAGAAACGTGTATGTCACGTGCGTATATATAAGCAATTTCCATTTGTTATCTGGTAACACTGAGGGTAATTAAAAGAATGTGAACAAATGTTTTAGAAAAACACTACCAACAAAGGACACCAGAAAAACTACCGATCATTTCTACTTGGAGACACTTTAGGGCATGGTCAAACATAGTTGTTTTCTTGACTTCGTTTTTAGAATGCGCTCTCTGCGTCATCTTAGAAGAGATTCATATACTCAGAAAACCAGTGCTAGAGCCCTCTGTATGCACAGTCACTTACTTATAAAGCCACACCTGTGTCCGAGCTCTCTTCTGCACTTCTTGGCCACAGCCACAGTGCCCCATGTTGGGAGGGTCACCAGATATCACACTGACATATATGAGATGGCTTACATATAGCTGTTGGAATTAAATCCAGAAAAAACAGTAGCTCTACTGCCGCTTAAATTGGCTGCTAGTTTACTTGAATGTAACTTAAGAAAAAACTACATTAGTTCTGAAGTAGTTTACTCTCTAGGAAGTTGTAAAATTAGGAATGAAAAATCTTAGTTTATATCTTTTGAGTCATCTCCTTAAGGATGTTCTTTAGGCAGGTGTCCTTGAAGTGCTGGGTCTTTGTTTTTACATCTGCTTCATCCAGTCCTAAGACTGTAGCATCATAGAAGCAGACTATTCATTCACCACCTAGAAGAACTTTTTGCGTGCCAACATAATTACATATATAGGCACATCTCAGAGATTGTGTGATAAGGCAACTATTGCAATAAAGTGAATCATGAATTTTTTGGTTTCCCAGTGCATGTAAAAGTCAGGTTTATACTGTAAGTGTGCAGTAGCAATTCTGTCTGAAAAAAATATATACTATACCATAATTAATTGTGACGGAGACACACAGCATGTGCTGATTGAAAAATGGCACTGATAGATTTGCTTAGCAGCGGTTACCACAGACCTTTACTTTGGAAAAAGGCAAACAGAAAAGCCCCTTAGTATCTGTAATGTGCAATAAAGTAAAACAATAAATTGAGATATGTCTGTATTTGGCAGTTGGCCGATTTAGGTTGATCCTACATCTGACTTTATGTCGCTTTGAAATCCACTGTTTGCTTCATGCCATTTTTGGGTTTGCTAAACATTACCTCTACGTCTACATTCCCTTTTATATTTTCTTGTTTACGCCACTTCTGGATTGCTCCGTCACATTGTTCCAGTATGGCTAATACCAGACTTTTTCTTTAAATGCTGACTAAAGCAGTTTGATTAGCTTTAAATCCTTTCCCCTTAGGGTCTTCTTCCTCTCAATTTCACAGCCTCCCAGGAGTTTTCTGAGACATAAATGATTTCTTCTGATTCTAGTTTATTTCTCGGTGGCCTAAGTATTAGAACACTGGAAGTTTTAAGTGCAAGGTATTTTCTGTTCATGCTTTACATCTTAAATGGGAGGACATATCATTAGCTATCATTTTAAATATTCACTTAATTAGGTGATATACTAATAAGCCTTTAAGTCAGAGCAGCAAATTTAATCACTCACATTAAGATACATCAGTACCTGGGCCTCCCCGGTGGCGCAGCGGTTGAGCGCTGGGTTGCGAAGCTGCCCGCGACCTCTGCGGCGCCAGTTCGATCCCCGGCTGTTCCTCGGCCACCAGAGGAGGGTCCCACATGGCGCGCAGACCTCTCCTGCCGCCCGCTGCTCCCCTCAGCAGTGTACTTCGGTCCTTCTGCCTGCTCTGCTCCCTGCTCTGGCTCTGGTGAATTCTCTCACCCTCCCGCGCTTCTGACTGTACCCAGTGCATGTATAAACGAACAAGCAAACAAACAAATAAATAAATAAATAAAACATGCCTCTATTAAAAAAAAAAAAAAAAAGTTAATCTTTTAAAAAAAAGATACATCAGTACCATTTTACTGGTAAGGAAACTGCAGCTTAGAGGAAAAAAAGTTTTTTTAAGGTCACAGTGATGGTATACTGGGATTTGAAGCCTGAGAGGATTTTCCCAGAATGCACTTTTTTTTTAAAGATTTATTTTATTTATTTATTTATACAAGCACTGGGTACAGTCAGAAGCGCGGGAGGGTGAGAGAATTCACCAGAGCCAGAGTGGGGAGCAGAACATGCAGAAGGACCGAAGTACACAGCTGAGGGGAGCAGCGGGTGGCAGGAGAGGTCTTCGCGCCATGCAGGACCCTCCTCCAGTGGCCGGGGAGCAGCCGGGGATCGAACTGGCGCTGCAGAGGCTGCAGGCAGCTTCGCAACCCAGCGCTCAACCACTGCGCCACCGGGGAGGCCCCCAGAATGCACTCTTAACGAGTGTGTGCATTCTAAGAAAGCATGTGTGGACCATGTCACAGGGATTTTTCCAAAGTGAAATGAATGCTTTTGAAACAATTCAGCAGTCATTCAGCTAGAGTTCCTGTGGAAATTTTGTTGGAGGCAACTTATTGTGGAAATTGTGTGTCACATACCAAATCTGGGCTTGGCCACTTAACCTGCTAGGTCCAAGTGTTTGTGGGATACATCTTCAAGCCGTTTATTTTCACTGGTGTCATAGAAGTTGTGCAGGATACAGTTGGAAGTGAAAGTGGATTGATTGAATTGCTCAGGTAGTTGTGATGAATTATAATTAACTGTTGTACATGGTGACTTTCAAAGTGACAATTTTGGTAAAACAATATTTTAATTGGAAGTATGAAAATCCTCAAGGAAACATAAATAGATTTTCAACTTTTTGATTTTTCAAACTTTGCTTTAGGTATTTCTTTAAACCCCGAGCAGTGGAGCCAGCTGAAGGAACAGATTTCTGACATTGATGATGCAGTAAGAAAACTGTAAAACCAGAGCCATATAAAACCTGTACTGTTCTCGTTGTTTTAATCTGTCTTTTTACATTGGCTTTTGTTTTCTAAATGTTGTTTTCCAAGCTGTTGTATATTTGGATGCAGAACAGTTTGTAAGATGAATACTTTTTTTTTTTATGTGCATTATTAAAAATGTTCTGAGTGAAGCTAATTGTCAACTTTATTAAGGAGATTTGCTTTGTGCCCGCCACCTAGTGTAAAATAAAAGCAAGTAACACAACCTTAACTGTTGTGGCCTTCTTTGATCAGAAGAATTGGTACTGCTTAAGGCCCAAAGTAACAGTATAGACCTTTTTAGTTTCAACTCAGCCTTTATATTTAAAAGCATTTGTATTGCTTTGAATTTATCAAGTTTTTGTTTGTGAAATTCATAGCTATGTTTTCTTCCAACCAAATGTCTAGAGACTTGTTTGATTGCCCTACCATGGAGATACTTTACTTCCCTCCTTTTTTCTTTATTTCATTTTCCTTTAATAACTTACCATGTTCTGTTTTCACGTTTTGCTTTTTCTTTCCATATATTATACTAATTTGGAAAGTCAGTAAAACTGTCCAAACCTTAGTTATTTCAGTAAGGTACTTGTAATTAAAATACATGAGAACTACAGTCACTAATTCTACTGTTTTAAATATTAGGAGATAAATAACATGGCTAATATGAAAATTGAGCAAGTTAGTGTTTGTCATTATCTGTAGTGTTCTGAGTAGTTATCTTAATGCTTAGTCTGCAAAAATAATGACTTAGATGTCAATTTGCTTTCATTTATCAAACATGTTCACCATGGGATGATGTCTATAAAATCAGATAATGTTAACTTAGAGTAGGTTCTAATAAAAGTTGTGAAAACTTATTGGCCTAACATTTTATTTTATGACATTGAGTATGAATTATATATAACTAGAGCTATCACTGATTACTGTCCTGGTAGGTAATCTCAATTTTTAGGGGAAAGAGGATATAAAGCATATATTTGTGGTTTTTGGCCTTTGTAGACTTGGTTATTTTGTTGTAAACCTACTAGACAATAGCATTCTAGACTTTAAACGTTACTAAGTTTTAGCAGGCATTCTGAAGTGATTTCCATTAAATCGTGATGAAGCAGACACAGATTGAAGCACAGATTTCAGGGGCTTTGCAGCAATAAATGGGACATGGTGTGCCTTAGAAAAATAATGTTTGTAAGGGAACTATAACTGAAATTAAAGAAGATGGCATTGAAGAGGAGGGACTTCTCTTCAAACTAAATGATAACGTGGTATTTTGATCACTTTGATAGGTCACAATTCTAGTAGTAGAATAGTAAAAAGAAAGGTTTAAAGACATGTAAAAAGTCCTTGTTGACAAATTATTTTTGGCAGCTAATCTCAACACAGGTGCTGCCATATTAGAGTTGCACTCGGTTTTTTTACTATGTCTGAAACATTTTGTAGAATTGTCAAGGACTTGATTATGTCCATCTGCCAGGCCACAGTTACCAATACTTTTTTCTGGTAGCAATTGTGTTTTAAGTGTGTCTTGGTTTTTTTTTTTTTTAACATTTTTAGGTGTTTTTTTTTTGTGTTTTAAACCGTAACCCTAATAGGTGCATAATTGGGGAGATAAAAACCCTCTTGTATTTTAGCCTTCACCAAAATAGGTACCAAAGTGTTCAAAATATCTTATTTTTAGACAAATCATAGTTGACTGATAATGATAGCCTTAGTTGAGAACATACGTGTCCTATTAAATTGGCTAGATTTATAAAGTATTTCTTGTTACGAACACAGAAAGAACATAAAACTTTGATTTTGATGTAGATGAAGAGGGAATATTGGGTACATTTCCTAAGTATATGAATTTAGGGTGGTGTGTGCATTTTGAAACAATCTGCTACTACAGAGATGGTGCTGAAATCTGTTACCTAGGCATTTTTCTAGCTGTTTAGTATTATGTTGTTAAAACCCTCATTTAAGGAGTGTTTCTCTGGCAGAATTTGGTAAGTTTACAGCAAAATTCATTTAAATACAGTTTCTGGGTAAGCAATAGACAGAAATATTTGTATGTGCATATATGTAGGAAAGAAAGAAAATTGGGTTAAAAGAAAGACAAATTAACGTGTACTGAAAAGAACAGATAGGGTACTTCTATTTTCTGTTTAACCTTCAACTTCGCGGTAAGATCTCTTCTAAGAAAGCTTGGCATTTTGCGGCAGTGGTTTCTTACCTTGTAATGCCAAAATGATTTTAACTGATCTGGATAGAAGGGCTTTTCCGCCTTGTCTTTTAAAGTGCAAGCAGCATTTGACCAATTTCCTATGTTCTTGGTATTTTACTTAAAGAATAACCAGTAAAAAAGAGAAAGTATAATTTGAGTATTCTTTTGCTGTGCTTCGTAAATGCCTAAGGACTTCTTTTGAAGAATACTCCTACCTCATTAGCTAGTCAAAATGCTGTGATGATCTACCTATTCTATACAATATGTTTGGAGAAAAAAAAGACTTAAGGGGAAGAAAGTACGTACATCCTGGCTTGGCTACTGAGTGGAGGAGAGAGAAAGCGGAGTATTGTTTCTGACAGAGGTATCTCAGAAGAGTGCTATTAAAATTTGAAATTTTTAAAGTGCCGACTAATGTTTAGGTATCTCTTAAAATTCTTTGAAGTTCACTTTTTTATGGAAATTATTCCAGTGAAACACTCAAACTTTTTTTTCCCCAGTGGTGTTTTTCCAGATAAACTCTAGGATTAAACATTCACGTAGTCACAAATATGTAATTCTGTAATTGTGGAATTCCTGTATGCTTTGTTTGGTACATCTTCCATGGAGATGTCAATGACTACAATACTCCATCTGTGAATATTTTAAATGTTGAAATAAAAATAAATGTACCCTACGTGTCATCTCCGTTTCACAAGCCTGAAGGTGAACGGTTGTCTGCTGAATGGATTTATTAACACTTAGACCGCTTCTGTGTGAATGCTTTGGAATGTGAATTAGTTTGAGAGTGGTAAGCCTTCTAAGGACCAGGCTGTGTGCACCTTTGGTTTCCATCTACTTGATCCAGATGGAAAAATGCCAATATTAAATTGTACACGGCCTCTTCATTTCACGGCCCTATACAGTCTTCCATTCCTTGGTATGCCTAGCTGTCCAATGAGCTTCAGGTGCTTCAAAAAGTTTCATTTATAGTCTCTTCCGTGACTAGTACTTCTGCTTTGTTATATATAGAGAAAGAGAGAGAGGTATCTCATTGCTTATCCATTTAGGGAAACTTAACACGTGGATAGAAAGATCCATGGAAGACCACTTAGGATTCTTATTTTGCTATACCTAGAACTGTAAATTTGCTTTTTAAGTAAAACATATTAAAAATTCAGTGATGAAGGAAAAACAGTACTTGTCATTTATCCAATTAATCACTAATTTTATAGTATGACTCAAAGGAGTTTTGGGGTAGAAAATGGGTTTGAAAGCATGAACGCTGAAAAAAGTCACATGAAATGGTTTACTGAATAGCAGTGAAATCTTGCCACACAGCACTGTTTCCTCTGCTGGCTTCATTACTTCTGACAGAGTTTCCGACCTCACCAGACCTGCTTTTATAGTCGTCTTAGTTCTGGATTTCCAGTGACCTGTTTCTTCCAGTAATGAAACGTTCCTCCCATTTCACTCTTAGTTCTGAATAGAGTTTAAGTAGGCTTATCTTTCTGCTGGTGTTCTGTTTTACTTTGGAAATCTTTGTGGCCACTTTCTTCTTCTTTGTCAGAGAATTTCATACTATACCTCCCCTCTTGGTAACTGAAACAATACAAAGTGCTTCTACCAGCCACGCTGCAGCTGAACTAGTCTGTAGTAGCTTGTGTGTCTTTGAAAGTGATGAGAGTTCCGGTTCAACTCTTAAATGAGCCTGAGTCTGCAATAGCTTCTACTCTGACTTTATTTTCCAACATATGGAATAGTTGCAAGAGTGGTACAGAGAACTCCCTTGTGTGCCTGTGCCAGCCACCTCATTCAGATTTTGCCAACTGTTCAATGTTTACAGCAAAAGCTTCCAACCCATTTGGTGGATGTCTCTTGAGTCTTCAGTCTGACGCATGGGGGCATGGTTGTGAAGGATGAAGAGGTGGGATGGTGGCTGCAGGAGCATGTGGGGTCAGGGACTGTGATTGGAACACAGGGCAATGAAGTGAAGGTGCATATTTATTTGCATTTGATGCAACTTCACATTGATATTTGGGGTGAGCTACAATTTCAATCTCTGTCCTGGTGAATTCTTTTTGAGTGGCACCTTAACAACAAGTCCTATAATTTAAAAAAGAAAAATGCCTACTTCACTCCATTTAACATGAATCTGATTATTGTGGTTACTAATCGTGTATTTCCCCCACTGCCGAGCTGTTCAGTTTATACCATGGTCTTGTTGGGTTTGGGCCACTGCAGTCATGGTTGGTGCAGGAGGCCTTCAAGAGCCTCTTCACTGGGGGCATAATCTCTGTCCCCTCCTCTCATTCCTGTGCTTGGAAATTGACGAGAAAAGATGTTTTACTTCACATTTCAGTCATACAAAAGGGTGACAGGGTAGTGAGGAGGTACATAGCAGAAATCTGAAGATTTTGAGAAATTGAGGTTTTCAGTTCTCAATCCAAGGTCAAAATATCTACTGGTGTTCAGAATTTGAAGGCTACCTTAGCCCTCCCCTTCTTATATTCATTGATAACCAATTTCAGAAGCCCACTGGTTTTCCTTAAGATCCTTGATTGAGAAGCAGTTCTCTTGGTACACAATCACTCAAAATAGATCTTTTTGATCAGTGACTTTTTCCTTATGAATATGGGAAAATACTTGCTTACTAAGAGTCATTAGTTGGTAGAGAAGACTGCACGAGAAAATTGAAAACATTCTCAACACAGAGTTGCTTCAATTTCTTGGTAGAAAGGCAGGTTTACTTGCTCTAAAAGAAGTATTCAAAGCAGTGCTGTCCGCAAGCCACTTCCATTAGAAATTTGCCCCTCAAAAGTTGAAGGTAAAAATGATGTCAAAGAAATTTAGAAGTCCCCCAAAGAGTGGCTTTCGCAACCTTTATTCCTATGGTGTGGACATTGGACAATGGCAAAATTCTCTCTTAGTTCTCTTGATTTAGCAATGCACTCTATTGAAGTAACCCTCACCCTGATTTTCACTCTGCATCATTAAGTAGGATTAGCTTCTGGCCCAGTGAATCTTGTTCAGAGTTTCTTGAACCATTTTGC